AAAAAAAACCAGCATTCAGATGTCCACCGGTGGAACTATATCTATCCTACTTGCATGTCTTGCTCATCGCAATAGAGCTTTGAAAAACGGAGTTCTCTTCCCGGAAATGTAAGTATTCTCATGCAAAGTTTTGCTTATCAATACCTGTCCAAGTTATACAACTTTAGGATCATTCCAGCATCGGCTCATGCCGCTTTCACGAAGGCAGCCGAAGTGTTTAGGATACGTGTCTTCCAAATACCAGTAGACCCCATAACCTTCAAAGTAGATTTGAAGAAGATGAAGTCGGCAATAAGTAGAAGAACATGTATGGTGAGCTTCTTAGCACATTACCACTTATTATTCATGTAGGAATTCCGTAAGCAAGATGTTTGTTTAGCTCGTAGGTTCAGCGCCAAATTTTCCGTTCGGGACTGTAGATGATATTGTTGAGATAGGAAAACTCGGACTTACGGTGTGTTGCTACTGTATGAACTTGTGATTACATAAGAGATGAATATGTCCTTTTAGTACGACATTCCTGTTCACGTTGATGCCTGTCTTGGAGGCTTTCTTCTGCCATTTGTAGACGCTCCACCTTTTGATTTCAGAGTTCCAGGGGTTATCTCCATTTCAGCTGACACACATAAGGTGAAGTCATCCGATATACAGATATGTTGTTTTTGTTATCTGAATGAACACTTACAGTACGGGTTGGCGCCAAAAGGATCATCTGTAGTACTATACAAAAGCAAAGACTATTTGCACAACCAATACTTTTGTGACGCAGATTGGCAGGGAGGAATTTACGCATCTTCTACTTTGGAAGGTAAAGACATTCTTTCGAATAGTACTAATCTACGCATTTTGGATCATTTAATTTGCATAGATTTTTAGTAGTATTAAAGACAATAACGTTGTGACACATACAGGCGTTTGCTCGATCGTCACATTATTGATTTCGGTTAAGGCGCAGGCTCAGATGCGCGAAGCTGCTTTCTTGAAATAAACTTTACCTTCGAGCATCAAGAAACTACTCAAACGAAATCAATCTCATCGTGCATCTTAAAAAAACGATGCTCATGGAGAAAAATCAAAATTTTGCAATCTTTTTGCAAT